ACCTACTGACTGCTAAGCACTATCTCCCCACACTGCTATACCTACTGACTGCCAAGCACTATCCCCACACTGCTATACCTACTGACTGCTACACTATCCTCAAGCACTGCTATAAGTACCTACTGACTGCTGCCACCTCATCCTACACTGCTATACCTACTGACTGCCAAGCACTATCCCCCATACTGCTGGCTAATTATCCTCACACTGCTAAGTACCTACTGACTGCTGCCAAGACTATCCCCCATACTGCTAAGCAATTATCCCTCACACTGCTATACCTACTGACTGCTACACTATCCCCCACACTGCTATACCTACTGACTGCTACACTATCCCCCACACTGCTATACCTACTGACTGCTACACTATCCCCCACACTGCTATACCTACTGACTGCTACACTATCCCCCACACTGCTATACCTACTGACTGCTACACTATCCCTCACACTGCTATACCTACTGACTGCTACACTATCCCCCACACTGCTATACCTACTGACTGCTACACTATCCCCCACACTGCTATACCTACTGACTGCTACACTATCCCCCACACTGCTATACCTACTGACTGCTACACTATCCCCCATACTGATATACCTACTGACTGCTACACTATCCCCCACACTGCTATACCTACTGACTGCTACACTATCCCCCACACTGCTATACCTACTGACGGCTACACTATCCCCAATACTGCTATACCTACTGACTGCTAACGCTATCCCCACACTGCTATACCTACTCGACTGCTACACTATCCTCACACTGCTATACCTACTGACTGCTGCCACTCATCCCCCACACTGCTATGCCTACTGACGGCTGCTACCTATCCCCCCACACTGCTATACCTACTGACTGCTTCACTATCCCCACACTGCTATACCTACTGACGGCTAAGCACTATCCCTCACACTGCTATACCTACTGACTGCTGCTACAAGCACTCATCTCTACACTGCTAAGTGCTACTTCCCATTGACTGCTACACTATCCCCACACTGCTATACTCTACTGACTGCTAAGCACTATCCCCTACACTGCTACACCTACTGACTGCTACACTATCCCCATACTGCTACACTATCCTCAAGCACTGCTAAGTACCTACTGACTGCTAAGCACTATCCCCTACACTGCTATACCTACTTCGACTGCTGCTACCATCCCCTACACTGCTATACCTACTGGACTGCTAAGCACTATCCTCACACTGCTATGTACCTACTGGGACTGCTAAAGTAATTATCCCCTACACTGCTATACCTACTGACTGCTACACTATCCCCTACACTGCTATACCTACTTCTCGACTGCTAAGCATAATTATCCCCTTACACTGCTATGCTACCTACTGACTGCTGGGCTACTCATTCCACACTGCTATACCTACTGACTGCTAAGCACTATCCCCACACTGCTATACTCTACTGACTGCTACACTATCCTCGCCACTGCTATACCTACCACCGCTGCCACTCATTCCCCACACTGCTAAAGTACCTACTGACTGCTACACTACATCCCCCATACTGCCGCCACCATCCTCACACTGCTATACCTACTGACTGCTACACTATCCCCCATACTGCCAAGCACTATCCCCTCACACTGCTATACTTCCACTGACTGCTACACTATCCCCACACTGCTATACCTACTGACTGCTGCCACTATCTCCCCTATACTGATATACCTACTGACTGCTACACTATCCCCACACTGCTAAGTACCTACTGACTGCTACACTCATCCCACACTGCTATACCTACCGGACGGCCAAGCACTCATCCCCAATACTGCTATACCTACTGACTGCTACACTATCCCCCACACTGCTATACCTACTGACGGCTACACTATCCCCCACACTGCTATACCTACTGACTGCTACGCTATCCCCCACACTGCTATACCTACTGACTGCTACACTATCCCCCACACTGCTATACCTACTGACTGCTACACTATCCCCCACACTGCTATACCTACTGACTGCTACACTATCCCCCACACTGCTATACCTACTGACTGCTACACTATCCCCCACACTGCTATACCTACTGACTGCTACACTATCCCTCACACTGCTATACCTACTGACGGCTACACTATCCCCCACACTGCTATACCTACTGACTGCTACACTATCCCTCACACTGCTATACCTACTGACGGCTACACTATCCCCCACACTGCTATACCTACTGACTGCTACACTATCCCTCACACTGCTATACCTACTGACTGCTACACTATCGTCCAGCCATTTCTTTACCCCAGTACCAACGTTACTTCTTTTAAATGCTTTCACGCTCTATATCCAAACAACCTCCACAATAACGAAACAGACGTTAATCCTCCATTCTTTATCTCGTAGAGAACGCAATAAAGCTGACTTCTATCATCCCCCCACCTTCCCCTCTCTGACAACAACCCAACTGGGTACGCAGACCTTCTCTGTGGGCGGCTAAAGTGCAGATTAATGTGCTCCACAGATCAAAACAGCGCCAGGAAAATGAAAGGCAGCCTTAGACAGGATTCCCCCCCCCCCTCGGCGCTTTCCCATGCCTGCCGCAGCTCACTGATTCATTACAGAATCCTGCCCAAGTATTACCGACTAATCTGTAAATCCCAACTGCGCCAAATGTGACCGATTTGTAAATTGTGCCCCTTACAAATGTGATTGAACTTCCATCTTTTTGCCTCCCCTGCTCCCGCCACCTTCTGTTATTTGTTTTGCTGTTCCTTGTCTCTTTCTACGTTTACCTACTCTGTATCTCTCCTTCCATTATATCCATCTCTCTGTTCTTCCAAATTCTTCTCCAATGTCTCGGGTTCTGCTAAAAATGCATTTATTTTCAACTTTACATTCTGTGTTCTTTGTTTTTTAAAGTCAAAACTAGCAGGATTATTCTAAACTCCAAATTGTAGAAAATTTAATTTTAAAGGGTTACACAACCAAAAACTGTGACAAGATTGTAACGGCACCCTTAGCATAAAAGGGTTAAACCGCCGTTTAGAAGATCTTCCCCTTCCAGAGATACAGGCACAGCTACTGCAGAACACCAAACTCCCGAACCGCATATAAGGGAATGCTCCAAACTCCCGAACTGCATAGAAAATAGCACCCCAAACTCCCGAACTGGAACCATACGAATAGCTGCTAGCAGACGAATAGGAAAAGCACCCAAGCGGCTTACACTCCTAGCAATCAGTCTCTATCAGCATACAGTAAATCCCCCCAAAGACGAGACAAGGCTCCGTGTTGAGGGTCAAGCAGTGGTCTGTTTATTGAGGGCTACCTGCCCAGTATTTATACAGGTCTCCCACCTGGTGGATACTCCCCTAGGGGACCAGATGGAAGACTGTAACACAGCCAGATATGTATCACATTCAGACACACAGAAGTAAAACATCCCCACAATGCATCCTAATTTCCATCCCTCTATCCTGGAGATAATTGGGAAGTAATATAATTATCTCCCAGGACAGAGGCAAATCGACAATTATACACATGGGGACACAAAGACAGTAAAATACTTTAAAATATGCAAAGTTACATTTAATACATAAAATCCATACAGTCACATATCCCCAGATAGCTGGGATCTGAGCGCACATAACTACCGAATAGCGCTCAGATCCTATACACACAGTTCAATTGCCATGGAGCCAAAGTCTTTAATTACACGAATAGGCTCCATGGCTGTGCTATCTTGGTTAACATAGTCACAGAGAAGGCTGGAGGCTCAGCGGTGCCAGCACGTAAAAGTGTCCGCTTTTAGTGCACTGATTTCCGGGCTGAGCACCGCTGGCCGTCCAGGGAGCTCCATAACACCGCCACCTAGCAGCCGCTAAGTGTAACCGCGGCCACCCGGTAACAGTCAATTAAGCTGCGGTTAACCACAGCTACTGGGAGGTCAATTGACAGCACACGCTAGCTTCAGGGAGGTGAATCGAAGGCACGTGCCAGCTTCCCGGTGGTCGCGCCTTCGGTATTTTGTTCGGTACATAAAATCTACCGAACGCCCTGGCAGGAAGACATGAATAAGCCTTTCTGCAGGGAACCAGGCTCCTCCAATGCAATGTGGCGAGATTGCTCTTGTCACAATGATAGTAACCCCTGGCCTGGCACACTGCCTGTGGGGAGGACAGGGGCGACACGGGGGGGTAGGCATTCCACCATTGGCTGTGTGGCACAGGATGCTATGCGTGCTGGTGATAGATGCCAATGTTGCACAGAATTAACGTTAGACACCTGGAACTCATGTTTCCAGCTTGCTAATGACGCCCCTATGATGCTGCCAGAATTAATGTAGTGGTTATGGTGCTTGGTTGAACCCTTTAAAGTGCAAAATTTAGACTAAAGTAGCTGATCTGAAAAACAATTCAACTATAGTGACAGCTTGGCTATTTCAGCCTGAATATTGCCGTTCCTTGTAATTCCCAGTCCAACGCGTAAACCCCTGCATATTTTAAGACCCCTGTAAAACATCCTGTTAGTCTCCATTTGTGTATTTCTGGAAAAAGCAGCAACAAGATCAACAGCTTCCTGTCTGCACTTTCTAAGGAATAAAGTGTAATCTTTGCTCTCACTGAACATATCGCTGTTTGTTTGGTAACATTAAGAGCCCTTATTTGCTTTGATAAAACCCACTATTTCTTAATGTTATAATTTTATTTATTATTGCGTAAAATGTAAATATGTTATTTCATTCCAATAAACTCAGCACTAATATCGTTTTAACGTTGAAACAGAATAAAGCTGCTTTTTCTTGTATTGTTTGGTTCTCTGGAATTTGGGGTCACAGCTGGAGCCAATTTCAATATAGTAATCTATTGTGGATTTATATAAATATATATTTATTATTAATATTATTGCCATTTATATAGAGCCAACAGATATATATATATTAGTTTATTTAGTTTGGGGTTTATTTGCACAGTTTTTGTACATTTCTTAATAGGAAGGTTAGTAAATACAGTGGGACCTCGGTTTACAAACGCCTCGGTTAACATAATTTTCGGTTTACAAATAAAAATCCATTGAAAATAATGCCTCGGTTTACAAAAAAATGTTGCAATACAAAGCAAGTTTCCTCAGGATGCATTTCACCTGGGAGGTTTATAGCGCCGCCCCATGCATGCTGGAGCCTGTGGGTAGCACGTGGCGTTGAGTGTGGAGGTGTTGGAGCGGCTTTTGCATCGAGTTTTGGAGCCCTTCTGGACATTTTTTGGAACTTATTTGGTGCATTTCCCAAGCTGTGGAAAGGTAGGGAGCTGAGCTTCGTCGTTTGCATGCCTTTTATTGTGTGTTCCGCATTGTGGGTTGGTTTCCATGCCAGCTCATTTTGTCTTTTTTTCTGACCTCCAGAACGGATTAATTGGTTTTCAATGCATTCCTATGGGAAACCGCCTTTTGGGTTTACAAGTTTTTCGCAATAAGAAACGTCCCGGAGAACGCATTAAATTCGTAAACAGAGGTCCTACTTACATAATACCATTTATAAGTGCTGCATGAAGTAGCAAGCATTCCAATGTATCCGCACAGTGCTCTTACCCAACGCGCTTCACAAGTAGCAGTTAGCAGAGCTATTGTTATAAACAGGGCTATATAACCAGACATACCGATTCAACAATATAGTGAACCTGGCCTTTGGACTAATCTAGAAAGATAGTTTGTGAATCAAGCAATTCTATAAAGTTTTTCACTAAACTGGAAATTAAACTAAAGTGAATAAGAACTGAATATATAGGTCAAAATAGCTGAGTTGTACCATATTCATTGTTCTTTATATTAGCCGCACACACTCTGAGGTCAATGTCTAAAGTCCAGGTGCCCATGTTGCCTCCAAGGTATCTCACAGCGGTCCTGAGAGTCTTAGTGCCTCTGTAGCTTCCAGGAGATTTCAGGGTGGCTTTCGATGATTATACAGAATGTAACAATGAGTGTATCTGAGGAGAAAATGAGAGCATCATATTAGCCACAGACCATAACAAATGGTCCTCGGTATATATGGATGTTTTTAAGACAATTTTTTAAGACCCTAGATTCATATTGTTCAGGTGGTTGTTGAGCTTTCATCCAGTAGTAACTGAGAAGAAGCAGGTCCTAATGTATAAATTAAACAATATACCTGAGATTCGTGACTTCTCCTTCCAAAGTGGTCATAGCAATGTATGTGAAGGATGCATGAACACAAAGCCCACCCGCAAAATAATGGGCAGAATATTTTACACAATACATTGTGGGGCATGAGAGGTCACACGTGTGGCTAGGAGAGACGTACTGGATATCGCACTCACCAAGTAACCCAGGTGCTCTGAAACCAAGGCTGGCCAGGCCTCCTTTCCAAGATATGCAGAATAAATAACGGTTCAGGCACTCCGGGATAACAAAAATATAGTGGCTAGGAGCCAGGGGCTGTATAGGTTGCCAATGTATCAATTGAATGTGTTTTCGCTTTATAGTAGAACTATATCATTGTTACGTGAGAGGTGCACATTGAATCCACAGGCTAGTTGGATATGGTGGACAATGAAGACCACAAACATCCACTGAACCAAGATTAGTTGCTTTATGCACGCCTGGTGGTTTTTTAATCACCTTGACCTGGTGTCCTCCACCATAATTTTGTTATTGTATCTTAACTTTTTTAATTCTGTTGTCAATTTAACACAACTCGCTGTCTGATGAGGGAACACTTATGCATCAACAAACATCATTTGAGAAGCCATCAACTTAAATAATTCCAGCTACGTTAAATCCTCATTAAGTTTTCAGCATTTGCATTAAAAACACACATTTTCACATTACTTTAACGGCCCTGTCTTTTCATGTCACCACTTGACTCATAATAATGCATTACCAGTTGATAATTATGTAGAATTGTTAAAAATATTGCTCGGTAATTAAGCATGACAAGGAGTATATATCAAGTCAGAAAAATCCACCCACGGATAAACAACTTTGTCTCTCTTAATGCTCCCCTCCATAGAGTCTGTACCTACCTTCTCCACAACCACTGTACCTACCTCCTTCCCTCCACAGTCTCTCTACCTACCTCCTCCACAACTGCTGTACCTACCCCCTCCCCCTCCACAGCCTTTCTACCTACCTCCTCAACAGCCTTTCTACCTACCTCCTTCCCTCAACAGTTTCTCTACCTACCTCCTCTACCGCCTCTTTGCCTACATCTTCCCCCCCACAGCCTCTCTACTTACCTCCTCCACAGCCTGCAGGTTTATGACATGGAGTTGACGGACAGGATGGGGATCTGATCAGCTGACGATCTGTCTCCCTTCCTTTTCCCTATCTCAGTCCCCCTCCTTTCCTCTTCCTCAATTTCACCACAGTTCCTCTTCCTCTATCTCAGTTCCTCTTCTTCTCAGTCTCTCATCCTTTATTTCAGCCCCCCTCCTTTCCTCAACCTAACCTCCCATTTTCTCTTCCTCTATAGCAGTACCATCTTCCTTTCTTCTATCTCAGTCCCTCTTCCTCTATCTCAGCGCCTCTTCCTCTATCTCAGTCCCCTCTTCCTCTATCTCAGCCCCTCTCCCTCTATCTCAGTCCCTCTCCCTCTATCTCAGTCCCTCTTCCTCTATCTCAGCCCCTCTCCCTCTATCTCAGTCCCCCTCCCTCTATCTCAGTCCCCCTCCCTCTATCTCAGTCCCTCTCCCTCTATCTCAGTCCCCCTTCCTCTATCTCGGTCTCCTCTTCCTCTATCTCAGTCCCCCTTCCTCTATTTCAGCCCCTCTTACTCTATCTCAGTCCCCCTTCCTCTATCTCAGCCTCCTATTCCTTCTGTGACCTCTCCATCTATCTCAGCCCCTCTCCCTCTATCTCAGCCCTCTCTCTCTATCTCAGCCCCTCTTCCTCTATCTCAGCCCCTCTTCCTCTATCTCAGTCCCTCTCCCTCTATCTCAGCCCCTCTCCCTCTATCTCAGTCCCTCTTCCTCTATCTCAGCCCCTCTTCCTCTATCTCAGTCCCCCTTCCTCTATCTCAGCCCCTCTCCATCTATCTCAGCCCCTCTCCCTCTATCTCAGCCCTCTCTCTCTATCTCAGCCCCTCTTCCTCTATCTCAGCCCCTCTCCCTCTATCTCAGCCCCTCTCCCTCTATCTCAGCCCCTCTCCCTCTATCTCAGTCCCCCTCCCTCTACCTCAGTCTCCCTCCCTCTATATCAGTCCCTCTTCCTCTATCTCAGGTGGTAGGGGTCTCAGTGCCGTTAGAGAGACTGAATGATGGGGTCGTAGTGCCGTTGGAGAGACTGAATGGTGGGGGTGTAGTGCTGTGAGAGAGACTGAATGGTAGGGGTTGCAGTGCTGTGAAAGAGACTGAATGGTGGGGTTCCAGTGCTGTTAGAGAGACTGAATGGTGGGGTCGTAGTGCCGTTAGAGAGACTGAATGGTGGGGTCATAGTGCCGTTAGAGAGACTGAATGGTGGGGTCGTAGTGCTGTTAGAGAGACTGAATGGTGGGGTCGTAGTGCTGTTAGAGAGACTGAATGGTGGGGTTCCAGTGCTGTTAGAGAGACTGAATGGTGGGGTCGTAGTGCCGTTAGAGAGACTGAATGGTGGGGTCGTAGTGCTGTTAGAGAGACTGAATGGTGGGGTCGTAGTGCTGTTAGAGAGACTGAATGGTGGGGTTCCAGTGCTGTTAGAGAGACTGAATGGTGGGGTCGTAGTGCCGTTAGAGAGACTGAATGGTGGGGTTGTAGTGCTGTTAGAGAGACTGAATGGTGGGGTCGTAGTGCTGTTAGAGAGACTGAATGGTGGGGTTCCAGTGCTGTTAGAGAGACTGAATGGTGGGGTCGTAGTGCCATTAGAGAGACTGAATGGTGGGGTCATAGTGCTGTGAGAGAGACTGAATGGTGGGGTTGTAGTGCTGTGAGAGAGACTGAATGGTAGGGGTTGCAGTGCTGTGAAAGAGACTGAATGGTGGGGGTCTCAGTGCCGTTAGAGAGACTGAATTGTGGGGGTTCCAGTGCTGTTAGAGAGTCTGAATGGTGGGGTTGTAGTGCTGTTAGAGAGACTGAATGGTGGGGTCATAGTGCTGTGAGAGAGACTGAATGGTGGGGTTCCAGTGCTGTTAGAGAGACTGAATGGTGGGGTCGTAGTGCCGTTAGAGAGACTGAATGGTGGGGTCGTAGTGCTGTTAGAGAGACTGAATGGTGGGGTTCCAGTGCTGTTAGAGAGACTGAATGGTGGGGTCGTAGTGCTGTTAGAGAGACTGAATGGTGGGGTCGTAGTGCTGTTAGAGAGACTGAATGGTGGGGTTCCAGTGCTGTTAGAGAGACTGAATGGTGGGGTCGTAGTGCCATTAGAGAGACCGAATGGTGGGGTCGTAGTGCTGTGAGAGAGACTGAATGGTGGGGTCGTAGTGCTGTGAGAGAGACTGAATGGTGGGGTCGTAGTGCTGTGAGAGAGACTGAATGGTAGGGGTTGCAGTGCTGTGAGAGAGACTGAATGGTGGGGTTGCAGTGCTGTGAAAGAGACTGAATGGTGGGGGTCTCAGTGCCGTTAGAGAGACTGAATTGTGGGGGTTCCAGTGCTGTTAGAGAGTCTGAATGGTGGGGTTGTAGTGCTGTTAGAGAGACTGAATGGTGGGGTCATAGTGCTGTGAGAGAGACTGAATGGTGGGGTTCCAGTGCTGTTAGAGAGACTGAATGGTGGGGTCGTAGTGCTGTGAGAGAGACTGAATGGTAGGGTCATAGTGCCGTTAGAGAGACTGAATGGTGGGGTTCCAGTGCTGTTAGAGAGACTGAATGGTGGGGTCGTAGTGCCGTTAGAGAGACTGAATGGTGGGGTCATAGTGCCGTTAGAGAGACTGAATGGTGGGGTCGTAGTGCTGTTAGAGAGACTGAATGGTGGGGTCGTAGTGCTGTTAGAGAGACTGAATGGTGGGGTTGTAGTGCTGTTAGAGAGACTGAATGGTGGGGTTGTAGTGCTGTGAGAGAGACTGAATGGTAGGGGTTGCAGTGCTGTGAGAGAGACTGAATGGTAGGGGTTGCAGTGCTGTGAAAGAGACTGAATGGTGGGGTTCCAGTGCTGTTAGAGAGACTGAATGGTGGGGTCGTAGTGCCGTTAGAGAGACTGAATGGTGGGGTCGTAGTGCTGTTAGAGAGACTGAATGGTGGGGTCGTAGTGCTGTTAGAGAGACTGAATGGTGGGGTTGTAGTGCTGTGAAAGAGACTGAATGGTGGGGGTCCCAGTGCTATTAGAGAGACTGAATGGTGGGGTTGCAGTGCTG